CAGCCCACGGAAAGGCCGAGATCTAACCGGAAGCGTACAGACCCCTGGCCCTCCCCACACCTTTCTACCACACCAGCAGGGCTCGAGTACGAGAGCAGCGCCTTGTAACTGACAGAGCAGCAGACTCTCTGAGGAGGAGTGTGACGGAGGCCCAAAATCAAGAGGGAGGCAGACCAATGACACTCGTTGAGGTGGAGGCCTCGGGCACCTGCAGCTACAGCGGACGTGACACCCAGTCCCCAACTCCTAATGAGATGTACATAAACCCTCACACTTATTACCTCCATTACTATTGCTTGACATTTCATGTCTAACTTCAATAAATTACAAGACACACTAAAAGGCAAGAAAAAACAATAGAAGAGACAAAAGCAAGCATCAGACCAGACTTAGCTATGACACAGATGTTGGAATTATCAGACAGGCAATTTAAAATGACTATGGTTGCTAAATTAAAACTGATGAGAACGCTAGATGATAATAGTAAGATCTTGCCTGTCGAATGCCTGAATGAAAGAGCAGCTATGCAGAAGCAGTTTTCACACACAGTGAGGACAGATATGGATGTCATTGGCAAAGGGAGGGTTGGGGGACAAGCTGACCCCTCCAATGGTCCCGAACCTTGCTGTTTATACAAATCTTTGATTCCACTTTTCTTTCTGAACATTTTCCTCTTCTACAAAAAGGGTAAAGCCTTCCAATGAAAAGATTTTCTAGGTAGGCAGCACAACACAGACAGACCTTTTCTGCGAATAGTCAGGCCAATTAAAAATGGAAGCTGCCTACTTCCTAGTGGCATTCTGCAGCAGGGAGCCTTCTACTCAAGGCTATGTCTACTTTGACTTGACTCCGTGTTCTAACACTGTCCTTCAACTTCCATACCATTTGCCCAAAGAACTGCGAGTACCAGCATTCTGGAGTCCGCTCCCTTCTGTAGAGGTCCCTGCCTGAAGTCATTCCCTACCACGTGCATAATTTGAACTTGAGAATTCACAAGTGGCCTTTCCCCCAGTCTGTTAAATTCTTCATTATTTCTCTCTGGACAAAATTCCAAGCATGCAGGTGGCTGAACTCCCATTTTTTTCTCCCCATAACATTAAAAGTTTTTTCTAGTCACTGCCCAAGGTTTAGCTTTTCTTTCTTAAAACATTTTATATTCTGAATAACTTCTTCGTCCACACACCGATCAGGGCAGTGTACACTGTGGGGCAGGGGGATGATAAGGGGGAAAAAAAAAACTAGATTATAATCTGATTGCTCGTTGTGAGTTCTATTATTATTTAACCATCTCCTTAGGATAAGCTTTCCTTTGAAATAGTCTTTCTCAAAGTTTTAATACTTTTAACATTTTCTTGTGTTTGCCCTTTTCTTGTGCATAAATGTTAATTTTCTCCATTGAATTGGGCAAACATTTCTACAATCTTCTCTTTACCTCTGGCTAGAGAATATTAGTTCATTCTCATAAACCAGAGCTCACATGATCCTCTCGGCATTGGTGTTTGTGCAAACAAACATTACGTACAGATTATCCTACTTTAGTTAATTGCTTGCACAACCCCAAGAATGAGTGTCTTCTTCAATTTTGTGCCCTAGGCATTTCACTTGCATCACCCAAGTCCCGGCCCTGGTGCAAGGGGCTGTTTACCTCCTGACTCGGGACCTGGCCCCTCAGTGGACCTCATCAGAAAGCCTGCTACTGCTCTGTCCTCACTGCCAAGTCTACCTGTCCTTGGTCACGCCTTCACTGTTCTCTCTGTTGTTGTCCCTTTGGTTTATTTGTTCCATTCTCTCTCTTTTAAAAGAACTGAAGAACAAAAACTGGTTTCTCTTTAAGTAAGCAGGAAACACCTTCCCTTCTGCAAGGTGATCCTCATTCTTCACGTATGATCTTTGGCTCTTCTTCGCTGCGTTTATTGTTCCAGGGCACAAAGAAGCTGCTCCCTCACTTGCCTGGCTTTCTGGAGAAGACCACACTGAATTCCAGCCATTTTAGAAGGCAGAGGTTTTTGGAAGGCTGGCTGAAGGTAAACAGTAACAGCAGGTATTCACGGCTTCTCCCTCTACTCATGATCAACAAACACCAGCAAATTCTACTTTATTCCTAAACTACTTAGTTTGCTGTTTTTATGCAGTGTGTATCAGAGCTTTTATGGTAATTTTTCTAAAAAGCCTCAGTAGCTTTTGGATTCTAGGATTATGACTGTCTTCAACTCTTCCAATTTAAATAAATTGCTTCTAGTCAAAATGGTGCAATGAATAGTAAAGAGGCCCTAAATAAAGACCACCAAGTGGCATTTCTGCTGTCCTTAAATTCAGGAGTCTGTGTTCTGGGATTAGAAGCCAACAGCTCGGTGCCTGGAGCTCAGGTGCATGGCAGTGTCCGAGGCTGGAAGGAGCTCATGGATTTGACAACGCTCCCTCAACTGGCCAACCCTCTTTCACTGGTTCCTGGGAGAGATCTCAGTGAAGAGCTCCAAAGGGCATCAGCTACAGTTGGACCTTCTGGCACATAATTATTACTAGGAAAAGAAAATCTAATAAATAACACAAAGGTGAAGCAGAAACAATTTGCTTCTGGCGGGAAACAGCCCCGGAGAGTCAAGAAAGAATGAATTACGTTGAGGCTCCTGAGGACGAAGGCTAACTGCAGCCTTCAAAGGACAGATGGCCTGTGTCTTCTGAAAAGCATACTGAGTTCACTCAGCCACCGTTCTGTCAGGAAGCGGTCCGTCGACTCACACTTAATGAGGCCCTAATAGTGCCAGCCCAGCTGTGTGTGCTGTGGAGAACTCAAACACAAAGAGACGGTCCCTGCGGATTTTTCTATCTGCCCCTAATCTTGAAGGTGCATGTGAACCTTTTTCACCTCGACAGTCCTGCTCCCCACAGGACTGTGCTGGCACAGAGCAGTCCCATGACAGGCTGCAGAGTGGGAAACAGTAGGAAAGGGTAGAGTAAGAATTTAAGGGATTCACTCTTTTGGTAGCAAGCCAGCCCTTGCTGTTCATCACCCTCACTTAATTAAACATTTTATTTTAAAAAGCATATATAGCACATAAAATGTGCCAGCCACTGTTTCAACTGCATTATAAATACTAATTCGCTGAATCCTCACCACAAGCCTATGAGACATACAATTATCCTGACGTCTGACACGGAACCTGAGACAGAGAGCATTAGGTAACCTGGCCAAAGTCATGGCTAATAAGTGGCAGAGTTAGGGCCGTCTCGCTCTAGTCCTTGCCACTAACCACTGAGCCAAACTGAACGAAAGGTGCTGGTGCATTTATGCAATAAACCTTCCTTCCTGGAGGCAGCCATACTAATTTAACCTAAGTCTCCAGTGTAGAAGTTAAAATAACAATAGCAACAACGAAAGATACTCAGAATTTATTAAGAATACGATATGCTTTATAGGCTATGTACCATACAGAATGCTAACTTCAACTTCAAGGGTAATCTTATCTTTCTCAACACCAACACCCCTACCAGTCTATAAATGAAAACTGCTAGGAAATTTGCTGATACAATCAGTATTTGAAATTTCACTGCAGTCTTTTACTAAAATGTGGCCTGAATATGAAGAGTCAGAGCAAGCTGGTGAGAAACCAGCACACACACCCAATCTCCCATCTCTGGAGATGTCTATGCCCCTCAAAAGATTTCTGCAAGGGACCACCTACCGGCTAGCCCAGATACCTCCGCCAAAGCAGCAGATCTGTGCCGTAGGACACAGACACCACTGCGCTTAATGAAATTAAATAAAATTAGAAACTCAGCTCCTCAGTGGCATTAACTACATAAAAAGTGCTCAACAGCCACATGGGGTTAGTGTTAACCATACTATGCAGCACAGAGAGAGCATTTTCATCATCCAGAAAGTTCTATTGGACAGCTAAGTTAGACCCTAAGTATGATTTCTTGTTAAGCGTTAGTCACAATGCACTTCACAGTAACAATTTCATCTTTTCCTTCTTATGAATACATAAAATTCAAATGACACTTCATTTCTTCATAAGATTTCTACTCCCAAGTTTAGTTTCAAGGGGAAAGTGGACTATTTATAAGCACTTGTCCCCTCCCCACCCACCAACTGCACCTTGTACCCAGAATGTATTTCTTCTTCCATAATAATGATTGAAAGGCAATCAGGTGAGGGAAAGGGAATTCATTAAAAGTGCCGCAGACAGCGAAAATCAAACTTCTGTTTATACACTTTAAGCTTCATGCTCAATGTTAAGATCTGAGACATGTACTCAACTAGTCATAAGGAGGCCCAACAAGACAGGGTGGCTACGTCCACATCCTCATCAGAACAATACAAACACATGCACCGCTACACAAGGTGGACCAGATACTACAAGGATTTTTTAAAAAAAAAAAAAAAAACAATGCCCACACAAAAACAGGTTGGACATATAGAAGTAGTGTGGGCCAGGGACAGTGCCACTGAATTTTCCACTGAGAGCAAACCTTACAGTAATTTCCAGCATTTTTAACCTGCACTGACAGAATGTCTAAATTAGTAACATTGCTGTTCCATTTCATGTGAGTTCACATAGTAATGAAGCAGAAAAGCAATAATAAATATAAGAAACAGCTTAGAAAGAAAGTACAAATGCTACGTGGCCCTTCAGTGCTATGGAATCTAAAATTCAAAATTCTTCTAATTTCTTGGCCTGAAGGTCATGGAAGCCTGGGGTGACTAGGTTTACAGCCAGTAGGACCGCTTTGTTCTAACATAGCTTTTTGTTCATTTAAAAAATTCTCCTCTCTCTGTCACTCTATCTACCCCATTACTTTAAGTAACACAACTGAATTTTTATGAATTCTTGTGATATACAGCTTTCTTTATATATCAGATGAAGCAGGAATTACTAAGTAGGACTAATAGAAATAATCAATGTCTGGTCATTTTAAGTCATAAAAACACCTTAAAGCTCCTTGGAAGATGCAATTTTTTTTAACAAGTGCAAAAACGTAATAATCAAATTACATACTTGTGACTTCTTGTAAGAAATCCAAACATGGTCGACTACTTCCAGAAATACTTATTGAAACAGCCAGTGGGGTCTGTCCTTCATAGTTCCTTGTGTTCGTGTCCGCTCCATAATTATATAACATCCGTGCACAAAGCACATCATCCCTAAGGGCAGACAAATGTAAAGGAGTCTGTCCATCTTCTAAGCGACCCAGGTTTGTGTCTGCTCCTCTCTGAAGGAACATTCGGCAGTAAGAGTGATTGCTTTTGATCACAGCATATCGCAGCAGGAAACCATTCTGAATGTCGATGTTGGCGTTGTGGTCTAGGAGGATTTTCACACAGCTTGACCTCTCGCGGATAATGGCGAGCTGAAGTGGCGTTGTACCTTTATCACTGAGCGGGTCAACCTCCGCCTTGAACTCGAGGAGGAGTCGCACAAATGAGTCCCTACCATAGTGAGCAGCCACATGGAGCGGTGTCCAGCCATCATTGCTTTTTGCATTAATAATGTCGCTCCTGTAGTCAGATTCTAACATCAGGCGTGCAATCCGGGCCCGGCCATGCATGGCTGCGTAATGAAGAGCAGTGAAGCCTCCGATTAAGTCCTTCACTGTGGGATCAGCTAGAGTTAAAACCAAATGAAAACATTATCAGCCTTAAGACACAACAAACTCTACCATGACATAGCACAGTTTAGCCAATTCTCAGACAAAATGTGAAATGATTAAACATTATAATGAACGTCAAGTACTTCTTTCCTCACCTTAACTAAAGCATAGTTTTAATGGGAAATAAATTTTAGTAGGGCTATCAAACTTGGGTAACAGTAAGAATGACTTACAAAGTATTTAAAAGATACATACAGAAAACAGAGTTCAGATCACCACATTACCTCTCTGCTAATCTAACCAACTGCTTTTGGCTATTCAACTCCCTCATTTCTATACTGTTTCATGTTTCTCTTCTGTTTTGAACTTTCTGTTTTATTTTCTCTATGTTTCTTCTTGGTCTTAAAGAGAAGCATGTGTAGCAACATCTGCTGCTCTAAATTACGGATGTACTGTGGTCTGGCAAACTGTGTTGTTATAGGGTGTATTATTAGGTAAAAAAAAAAAAAAATTTCTGCGGTCTGTAAAAATTCCAAAGCATGTAAGATATATGTCACGTGATCTTGATAAATCATGTTTTCCTAAGATAAAAGTCTATTCTGAATTCTTAGTTTTATAAGAACTTTGGAGGTTTTAAGAATTAAAGCAGCATATTGTGTGAAAAGTTGGGAGAAACCTCAGCATTGTATAAATATGATTTTCTAAAAGATCCAAAAGCCCTGTCCTAGGTTGACTGTTTTCTGGAAAGAAGAGAAAGAGGGTGGGGGTGGGGGACAGAGAGAGAGATAAGAGAAAAGGAAGGAAGAGAAGGAAAGAAAGAAAGAAAAGAGAAAAAGATAAGGAAGGAGAAGGCAAGGGAAGGCAAGGAGAGAAATGACATTTATGAAAAGGAGAGAGAGAGAGAAAAGAAGAGAACGTGGGGGAAGGGGAGGAAGAGAAACTGCAATGACATGTTTGCTAGAACTCCTCAAGTCACAGACTTCATCCCCTGCCCCCAATCTTCCCTGAAGCCAGGGGTCGGGTCTATGCGGCTCCCACCTCACTGGCCATCCTGCGCAGTGGGCAGGCGGCCAAGAACAACTCCCTCATATTATGTAGGTCACTTTCTGGAGGCCACCAATGCCACGTGCAGATAAACTGGTCAGACCTAACCAAGTAGGGTTAAAATGCTTTCTTCTCATAAAGTCAGCCTTAGGTTTTGGTTTGTTCATGTACGAGAAAAACTAGAGTGTCTTTTAAACAAACTAACAAAAAGCACCCAAAGGAAGTGATTAAACCCTGGTGTATTGTTCAGTGAAATGCTATTTAGTTCTAAAGCATATGACAGCTTTAGAAAAACCGATGAGGCAGAAAACTGTATGTAAAATATTAATAATACTTTACAGAGAATAAAAATTTCAATTAAGAAGTAGTTGCTAACAAAACCTATAAAAAGGTAAATTTGGGGGAGAGCTATCTCAGTTGAATTTCTAAAATCATTTAATATAAACTGATAGTACACAATAGTATTACTTTAACCCACTTAAATAAAATAAGGGTATATTATCTGCCTTGGTCTTCATCGAAAGAAAAATATACAGTATCCTATTTACTGTGACTTAACAAAACTCAAGGCAAGAATATTTGAACAAAGCATTTTGTTGCCATCTACTGGTAAGGCATGAACATGAGCTACTGATGTTTCTATTTTGACGGTCAATGCTGAGCCGTCAAGTCAAGTCAGCTTCAGGTACTTTTCATACCAAGCCTAAGTGAAGGTAAGCATGAAATCAGAAAGAATCTCTTCTATTCAAATGAAACTATAAATCTTGCCAAGACATCCATTTCTATCTACACCTGACCAATCAATTGCTTCCTTAATTTGCTAGTGACATATAAGAATACTTTTTCAGTTCTCCCACCTTCATCCACCAGGGGTGTCTTTAAAGATGCCAGCAAACATTCTTATGTGCATCCTCTACTTGCTCTATTTAACAGTAAAAGAAAATTATATTACTGAAACTACACTTGCATCTTTGGTTTACCACTTGAGGTCTTCTTTTAGATTCTACATTTTGGTGCTATATTGAGCTAGGAAAAGAAAGATTAACAAATACAGCAATGATTTGCTTAGTCTTAATTAAAACGAGAACTGGGAATAGCACAGAAGGGAAGAACTATAGGTTTTAATGTAAAAATTTATAGTATTAAATCTGTACCGTATAGTTACTGTCCTCAAGGAATTAACAAATGGGAGATACAAGCCAAATGAGTATGCAAAACACAAATTAATTTTAGGATTATTAATAGTCAATGCAATAAGAAAAAGATCTCATTTGTAATAGTAACAAACTACAGAACACCCAGATATAAATTCAGTAAGAGATGTGCAATGCACATGTAAAGAAAACTTTTGACTGAATTCACTTCATCTGTGTTTGCACAAGTGTCCCTTCATCAGAAAAGCTTTCCCTGAACACAAACATGGCAGGCCCATCAACCTCAGTACTTTGTCCCCTTACCAAGCTTTCTTCCCCTTAGGGAAGGTGCAACCTATTTTAAACAAGATGTAGCACAGACTCAAGAAACCCATTTAAATCTATTGAAAATATTGGAAGTATATATAAATAAAAGCAGAGAAACACTCCCTATTAATAGTGGTTCCTTTTTTTCCCCCCCAACAGCTGTACTGAGATAAAATAAAAGTCACCCATTTTCAGTGTACAGGTTGATGAATTTTGATCAAGTGCATACAATGACTATGATCATCATCAAAATATTTCTATCATCTCAAAATTGTTCCTTCCTGCCTCTTACAATCAATTCCCTATCCAGATTCTGGGACCCAGGCAACCACTGATGCTCTGCCTTTTTAGAATTTCATATAAATGGAATCATATAGTATTGCAGACTTTTGACTTATTTCACTTACCATTGTTTTTGAAATGCATCCATGTTGCTGTGTGTATCAAAAGTTCACGCCTTTGTACTGATGAACAGTATTCCATAATTTGGATATACAATTATTTATTCATGAGCAGATGTACAATTGGGTTATTTCCAGTTTGAGGGTTTTACGAATAAGGTTCCTAGGAACACTCACATACAAGTCTCCATGTGGATATATGTTTCCATTTCACTTGAGTAAATAACTAGGAGAGAATGCTGGGTCACAAGTTAAATGGTCATGTTACTTCCTAAGAAATTGTCAAACTTTTTCTAAGTGGCTATACATTATGTTCCCATCAGCAATATATGGGAGTTCCAGTTGTCGCAGATCTTCACTAGTACTTGGCATCATTTGTAATTTCAACTTTAACCATTCTAGAAAGTACAAAGTAGTTAACTTCTTGGGGTTTAATTTACATTTTCCTGTGACTAGAGGTATTGGGCTTTTTCACATATTTTCATTGTGAAAATGTGTTGAAATCATTTACCCATTTTCATTGGGTTGTTTTTCTCATTACTGAGTTTATAACTCAATTGTATATATATTCTCAGTATTAAGCCCTTTGAGAGAGATGTTTGTAAATATTTTCTCCTAGTATGTTGCTTGCCTTTTTATTTTCTACACTGCCTCTCTTGGAGAGCAAAAGTTTTAAATTTTGATGAAGTCATTTCTCAGTTTTTCTTTTATGGATTGTGCTTTTGTGTCCTGTTTAAGAAATCTGCCCAACACAATGTCACATATATTTTCTGTTTTCTTCTATACATTTTACACTTTTGATTCTCGTATTTGGGGCAATGATCCATATGCAGTGTGAGATCAGATCAAGGTTCATTATTTTCCATATATGTATCTAGTATTTCAGCACAATTTGTCGGAAGGACTATCTTTTCTCCAAGGATTCATCCTGGTGCCTTCGTTGAAAACCAACTTACCATACAAGTGTGTCTATTTCTGAACTCTATTCTCTCCATTAATGTAAATGTGTATCCATACACCAACACCACATTGTCTTGATTATTGTAGTGTTATTGTAAGTTTTGATTGCAGGCACCATACACCCTTAAACCTTCCTTAAAACTGTTTTGGGCAATAGCTTTCAGATCAATTTGTCAATTCTTCAAACAAACTTTCTAGAATTTTGATTGGATTGGAACTCCACTGACTCTAAAAATGGAAATCTCTCCCAAATGATCGAAATAATATCAATTCTTCTAAACCATTAACATGGAATATCTGTTTATTTAGGTCTTAATTTCACTAGGAAATGTTTTATCTTCAGTATACAGGTCTTGCAAATTTTTCATTACATTTATTACTGAATATTTTAAGTTATGTTGCAATCTTAATGAATTGCTTTTGAATTTTCCAAATGTTAATTGCTGGTACAAATAAATAAAATTTTTGTACAATTTTTTGTGTATTCTGTATTCTAGCTACATTCACTTTTTAGTTATAACACATTTTTGTAGATTTCTTATGATTTTCTATATATACACAATTATGTTCTCTGCAAATAAAGACAACTTTATTGCATCCTTTCCAGGCCACAGGACTATTTGAACAGGATATTGAATAAAAATGTTTGTAAAGCATATATCCTTGACTTGTCCCTGATTTTAGAGGGAAAGCATTCAGCAGTTTACCATTTCGTATGCTGTGACCTGTAGTTTTTTGTAGGTGCCTTTCCCTGGGTTTTAGAAGCTATCTTCTGCTCCTGATTTGCTAAGTCTTTATGGCAGATGATACTTTTTATTGTCACATTCATTTTCTGCATCTATTGAAACGATTATTTGGCATTTACTTTTATTCTATTAATAGGACAAATCACTCACCATACTGATTTCCAGGCTAAACAAAGCTTGCATTTCTGCAGTAAACACTCCTTAATCATAGTGTAATATTCTTTTTTATATACTGGTGGATTAGATTTACTACTGTTCTGTTAAGGTTTTCTGTATCTATTGTCAAGAAGGATACCAGCCTGCAGTTTTCACATCTTCCAATGTTTTTATTTGGTTTTGTATCAGGGTATTACAAGCCTCACCCAGTTAAGTTTACAAGTGCTACTTCAAAGAATTTCGGTGG